TGTGTGTATGAGTGTGAGTGTATGAGTGTGTGTGTGTGCATGTGTGTGTGTGCATGTGTGTGTGCGTGTGCGTGTGCGTGTGTGTGTTTGTCTGTGTGTCCATTTGCATGCTAATGAAAAATCAATTAGTATAATTTTAAAATATAAGTAAAGGAGAGGAGTATTTCATACTCACACTCATGTCATCTTGGTGTTCAATATTATCAAGGAGTCGCACTAGTTGCTGCACATGGTGTTGTGTGGTAGTCATATCTTTTGTTAGCTGATCCAATCCAGAGCTGTCTACAAGCCATGATCGAAGAGTTCCTGCCCCTGTAAAAGACATAGCTATTATGACAAGACAGATTACTGCACAAACCTCTGGTGCTGCTTTGGCTAAAGAGCTACACTGTGAAACTGTCAGATTGTGATTCTTTTACATATACTTTCTATTACTGTATGATGACAGTTTTGTTGCTCCTGTTTTGAGCATATGCCATAGGGTGTGTAACATACCCACTCAGCTCATGCTGAAGCACATGCATCTAACCTTGAGTGCAGACAGGCAACATCACCTTTTATTTCAATCAAATAATACAAATGTACATGCTCCAGAATCAAGTTGCTGAGACATTATAAACAAATACTTCATACAACTAAAGATGCAATCAGAAAATGCATAACATTTTTCTTACATAGGAATGAATCATTTGTGAAAGAGGCATGATTCAGAAACATGATAAAAGGATAAAATATAATAGTAAAGTAACAAAAACAATAATTAAATTTATAGAAGGCAGCAGTTAAGAAAATGTGGTTTCATCTGAATGTCCATTTGAATTATTTCATTCAACCAGTGTCCGTTCAGTTTATTTACCTATTTCATTTCTATTAATATCCTTCCTGGGTGAACCCAAAAATGTTGTCCAAAAGGTGGATAGGGAATATGTTGACTTGTATCCTGTACTCCTAATTATCATGGCTGCAGCTTCCCATATAATGTGATGTATTTACTATTCATCACAATTATACACTTTTTTTCATGTGATTCTTCCCTTATTAATGAAATTGAATATATGTAGTACTTTCTGGCAAGTTTCCTCTAGCCATATCCTCATATGGGTTATTGGGGTTTTTGCTTAAACTTACAGCATGTAACCAATTAAGGACCTCTTCTCCCTCAGCCAATCATATAGTCATGTTTTGCTATGTGCACACACACACGCATACACGTGTGTGCGTGCATGTGTGTGGCCATCCATCTCCTCAGCAAGTTTCCCAATATACTATTCCTTGTACCTTCTCAACAGCATACAAGTCCTATGTGCTAGGGCAGTGTTGTCCAAACTGGGGTCCACATACCCCTGGGGGTACTCAACATAGATCATAAGGGTACGTGATCAAATAAGGAACACACACGTCTCACATATCACATTAAGTTGTGTCGGGGGGGGGGGGTATGCAACAAAAAGGTAATAAAGGGTACAATAGGCAAAAGTGTTTGGACAACACTGTGCTAGGGAACGATATAAGTCCTGATCACCATTTGATCAAATGATTTGAACTTTTAGGTATCAGACAATGCTATAGGGAAAGTCTGGTTGCAAAATCCCCTTCCCTCATTCTGACCAAGTGAAATATGCTGAGCCAATGGAGGAGGGGCGGGGGGGTAGTGGACCCCTTAGGGTAGCCAATCTTTGGTTTATACAACAAAACTCAGGCTCCAATAAACCCTGCAATTCTGGAGGATCCTTAATCTACTGCAAACATACATGTGATTTATCTCCTTGGCCACATTACCTGTATCAGTACCATGTCCAGTGATGGGGATTGGAGCAGCCAAATTTCAACAATCTCTGGAACTTATCCAAGTCCCTGAGGAGGCTAATTTTGAAGACATAACACTGAATTCTTTACCTAAATATTTTTTTTTATCCCAAAATATACCTTTTTTAGGGACCATTTTATACTAATGCTATGGAAGAAACTGAAAAATCAGAGATCTAGAGTTTCAAAGTATTGGGTAGCTCCTTTAAGCAAAATAAACATTCAAATCAGACTATATGTGTAGGCTGTGAGACTGCATCTAGGCATAGCAAAATTATTGACTTTATAGAATTACTTTGGCTCAAAATATTTAAATTCTAATTCTATGCATACTGCAAAAGGAATTGTGTTATCACAATGGGGTATCTTTTTAGGAGTGTTTAACATTACTGCAGATAAAGTAACCCATCTATATTTTTTCCCTTGGCTTTGGCCACAGGCAGCCATCAAGCCGCCAGTGAGGCAGACATCCCTACTCCTTACTGCATCTTAGTGGTTGCCCTCCCAACAGCAACCACAACCTGCCTCATTTGTTGAGCGGGAGGGTCTGTACGCCTTGCTAGTGGGACTAACTTGGGGAGGCTGACTGGCAAAGCCTTCCTCCTCACAGCCATTAACCCAAGGGGGTTGGGGGATGAGAGTTAGTATGAAGTCAGGTACATAGAGATATTGAGAGAGAGCAATTAAAAGAAAACGATGTTACCCATCATACTAATATTCTAAAAAACTATCAATTTGGATTAATAAAATGTACTACTTCCTTTCAGCATCCAAATTCCATAAGCACAATCTGCCACTTGAACTAATGCACCCATTGCATGCATGTATGACTAAAGGTATAAACTGTGACATTTGTAAAAAAAAATTGTGCAAGACATCAATAAGGAGGAGGCGGAGGAGGAGGAGGCAAAAGGTGAGGAGGAGAGGGAGGGAGAGAGGGAGGGAGGCAGGGAGAGAGAGAG